ACATTATATACCAATCAACGTCACCAAATAGATGCGGTGTGACAGTTGATTTGCGCGTTCCGCAGATGTCTGTCTTGAGTCCAACATACAAAACTGGACAGTAATGGACAGTCCTTCTACGGTTGACTGGACATGTCAACTCACAAAGTGCGATGGGGTTTTTCTATGAAATGTCGACTATATTATTCAACAAGCCCTACACTGCACTGAATTTGATGCCTCTTCTAGAGAAGGCTGACGACGATATTACGCCAGTACGAAATACGTCGTCACTCGTTATTTATTGAGTAGTTCTTCTGGGTGCAAATCACTGGCGATATGTAACCCAAGGACAATGGATTTTTTCACGGTAAATTTTCCTTTTGTGATTCCTTTTGTTGATCACCTGTCAGCAGTCTTTATCGTTAGCATTTTCTTCTTTTGTAAGGAATTTGCTTCACTCGGACAATTCACTACAATATGCCTGCATATCACCAGAGTCTGGGAATCCAGCCAACACCGCAATTTAAACGGCAACCTGATTGGTTCTGTGACAGACACAGTTTACCTATCATTTATGCCAGATTATCGCCAACAACCGCTGTCGCCATTCCAGTCGCTGGTGCTAGAACGAACGTACGGAAAATGGTACACAACAGCTTTACCACAAAAACGCGCCTGCGGGTGAGTGCAATAGTTATTACGACCCTGCGCTAGTTTAAGTGAAGCTACCGGGAATTGACCTGGGCTCTCCAGTGCATGCTCGTCAACACCCATCAACATCGATCTTCCTGAACGCTGATTACACTCGGTCGTCCTTCTATGGCGTGCATGAACTCTCGCTGGCATTTGCTGAATTGGTTGGATGCTTGACGGGCCTCGAACTTGCAGGGTTTCGGTGGAAACTAAAATTCCTGATTGATACAAATACGCTCATTTGCGCATTAACTTCGTTTTGCCGGGGGACACAGCTGAACCTAGACAAAGCTCTTGAGTATGCTGATCTCTGTGAACTGGATTGTGAGTTGAACCGCATTTTAGGGTTCTGTCCAATGATGATTTGGTTCATCCCTCTTGGTGGGCAAATCACTCGTGATGTTTTTATGTCGCAAGTATTACTTACCTAAAATCTACGGCACACGAGAATGGCCAGAACACCGCATACAGGAATATGGTGGTTGGCGCAAGCGATATTCCCGGGAATGTGTGTTTTCGAAATGTGTTTTCATAGGCTGCAGGTTAACTAGCGTGAATGACATACCTCGGCACTCGAAATGAACGACCGATCAGAGGGTCGGTGTTTCGAGCCCGGCCCCGGAATTTCCAATGCTCCTGTCTAGCATTGGTCAGTATCTTAACAATCGTGCTTCCTTTGGGTGGCAGGGTAATACAACAGAATGAGTGCTTTTTATTATTTTATTTCTGTTTCACAGAAATGCATTGACAAAAGACAGGAACCATATGGGCGACTGGACAAAACATTGAGGAGCATCTGAAATGAACTTGCGGAGCCAAAAGAGAGAATTAAGCGGCTTGTAGGTTAGTTCCCATTCCACCAAGTCATGGTAAATCAGCATTTTAGCTCGGCACAAAAATTCCTTAGGGCATCCATAATACAAGTGTAGAGCATGAGAGAGGGCCATTCCTACGGCTGGTACTATGGCAAGAACAATGTGGGGTGACTGATCAAAACGTTGAAGAACATCTGTAATGACTTTGCGGAGCCGGGGTAGAAGTGCATGTTTTCGCTTGGCAATCATAGCATCGTGTCAGAAAATATTATCAAAACATACAGGACACCAGCGCAGCACAGGATAGGTAGCCACACCTATGGTATATACTCTGGTAATTGAGAACATGTCAAAAACCGGAGCAAATAAGACATGATTGAAGGAAATTCTGAAGGACATTTAAGGAACCGAATTGGTAGAATATCATTCAGACCGGGAGGCTTTAGCGAGAGTAGCGAAAATAACGTTGCTGTTATATAGAAAACTGGGACGCGAGAAACGGTAGAACTTGAATACAATGACGATTAATGCTGGCTTCATGGGCTCAGAAGGCGATATTAGACAATTGATGCGGACATATTCTGATTTCATCTACAGCAAGGGGTTGAGAGTGCGCAACTGCTTCTTTGGCGTCTTTGTATAAAAGTGTGTTAAAATGCTTCAGGCGATTACATATTCAGAGGTGAATCCTTTTCTTCTTAACATATGCGGTGTGGAATGAATGACTAGTGAACATGTCTAGTTGCTGATATGAAAGACGATATTTTGGGCCTGGTCGGAAAGTTATCTGTTTATCTCTTCAAGGGAGCTAAAGGGATATCTATTTACTACCCTCTCAGAGTCTATTATTATGCTTTCCTCTATTGTGCTAAATGTCAAGGTGATTTTGTTGCGTTGGTCCGTCCGAGAGTTAGAAATTACCTTAGAACGTACGGAATCGAGTGCTTCTGAATCCGGTCGTTTTTCCGTTCATCGTTGCATTATTTTAGTCCAATTTGCAATTATTCTGGTGCTTCCCTAAAACGATACTTCTTTCGATGCACCGCTAACGGGCTAGCCACTCAGAGAAAGAATCGGATGATATCTTTATAGTCTAACTGATTTCTCCTACGAACCGATTAAGACCTTCACTGGCAACTACGATATTTCTCTTTCATAAATTTGAGAAATGCAAAAAAGGTACCCAGCTAAATCTGGATTTGGGGAATACACGGGTTGCAACATTCTATGGAGCGGCCGATCCTTTTCGTTCCCTTTTGCCAGAGGATTTACACCATGACCACATAACTCCCACATCTAAAATCAGTAAAGAGAATAGAAACGATACAGTTGTTTCTCGTTCGCCGCGGTCACAGGATGCAACCAAACGTGAACTAGCGTCATATTCATGATCATAATCCCAAGATTGCCACCGACAACGTGATCGCCTCGGAGGCACGCTCGAATGGTCGGATGCTGCGGGTGTGGCATGCCTGGCCACTTCAAGAACCAATGTGCAGATACCGACCACTCGCATATAATCAAACTTTGGATTGCAGTTCTACTACCATGTGGGTTACGATAAGGGCAGTGACAGAAGCAGCAAAACAGGTTGCAATCATAATAGGAAGGAAGAGAGTAATGTGCGTGATAGATAAAGGGGAAGAGATACCGCTGATACGGGGAGGGAACCAAGAGAATGCAAACTGCTTGCGCAAACCGTGAGAAAATTGGATGGATGGCGAATCAAAACTCATGGATTGTGAATGCACTCAATCTGCCTAGGTGACTGGTCCGTGCAGCATAGACATTGAGCAGGCAGTCTTAGAGGCAGATTTCTCCACGGTTTTTCCATGGTTGACCTAGAGTGGGCAAAATTGGATAAAATTGATGGCGCAGTGAAGCACGAATTCTACACAAGCAATGACGTAAGCGAGCTGCATGTCCGAAAGTTTGCACAATGTAATGTGCCATCAGTGCGGCCGTGGTCGTGGAATATTCCGAACCGTTCAAGAGTGGCAAAAATGCGCTTAAGAAAGAAAGTTTAGCGGTTGTCTCGGCCGTGGATCAGTGATGTCCATACCTGGTTGGACAGAGATTTCGTGTTGAAACCGATCACAAAACCCTCGAGTGGACCACCATGCATCCTCGCTGGAAGCTTGTGCGCCGGGCACCATGGTTGGAAGAATACGAATTTACGATGCACCTTGTTCCATGGATGGAGATCTACTTGGCCGCTTGGCTGAAGATAAAGCCTGAAGAAGACAGACGATGAGGCCTTGAGGATCACGATTTGTGCCAACAGTCTCATTGCCGAACTGGGTCCTGGAAGGTCGGTACTATTTCAACAGTAGGATCTTGTGTTACGGAAGGTTGCGGCTAAAGCACCACCGATTTTGATTTGTGGAGATGTCCGTGATATCACGCGTTTTGACAGGGAAGCTGTCATTTTTGAGTGCCAGGAGATAGCAAACACAGGATAAACCAAGACGTACGACCTACATTAGCAGAGGACCTACTGTTCCAATTCGTACTGGATGAGAAGTGAGTGGATGGACTATGTGGTGTACTGTGAACAGTGCCAGCTGATGAACGGGGATGCGATGGGTCAAACCATTGCATGGAACGCACGCCCGTATCAGAATTAGGCCAACTATGGTCCGTTGAAATAATTGGCTCTTTACGGTGGCGGCCAGTGGACGTCACTATATCATAATGGTGACAGAACTCCTGTCGCAATGGATCGAGTCGGCAGCTGTATCAAAAAGACGGGCAGCAACAATGTTGTTGGCTGTATGGAAGGACAATAAGCCGACAAAGCACTCGGCAACAGTCATCTATTTTGGACGCCAGACACTACGCGATTGTTCGATTATTGCATTTGGTTTGACCATATGTGTGAGTGGTATGGTGTGCTCCTAATCTGTCTGATATGCAGCTTCTGCAAGTGACTCTTAAACTCTTCGCTCTCAAAGAAAGGCCTAGGATCGGTTAGGATTATTTTTGAAGCCCCATTGATGCAATAGGTGTTCGGTCACTTTTAAGATGTATTGATTCCAAATGGCTGTTACTGGAAAGAGACCATGACTTCATCGAAATGGAAATATACATTTCTGTTGAGCATGATTCAATTGGTTGTCAATCACTCGCACTTGACCGAGGAGACCAACCATCGGTATCATATTTTGACCCACTTGCTGGCCGCAACGATCAAAAGATCAACCGATTGGAATTATGAAACTGCGGTCCACAACTATTTGAATCAGTATCGGAAAGTGCCTGGGAAAATAGCTTGGAAGAAGCCATAGCCCACGTGGATCTTTTATGGCTACATAATGAAGCTGCAGTCAGATCGACTAAGAAAGCCTGAATACGTTCCATAAGGTGAGTTATGGCCACAAATTTATTAAAATTTGTGACCAAAAACACATTTATCCGTGCTCTGATTCCAAAACTACATTCCCCTGTATTTTACTAATCACCTTTAAAGACGAGCTATATTGTTTCTCGGTCACAAATTCAGCAGCAAAGTAAAATATTGACAATGCCGGCCAGGCGGATGAATTTTCTAGATTTTTAGAAAACAGACCACCGTACTCAGTCATATCTCAGATCTCAGCGAAAACGGAAATGCGACATACACTTATGGAAGTCATCAGATATACTCAAATCACATTCGCAATAACACTCAAATCAAACTTACAGGATCCGCTTCTGAGTCAAGTAAAGAGGTGTCACCTCTCTAAGTGGCCACCAAACGTTGAAAGCGAAAAATTGCTTCAGCTTTATTAAACACGATCGTCACCCTTCCCTGTTGATAATTGTACATTATTCGCAGAACACATTTTCTTGCCAGAGAATCCGCAAAGGCTCGTTAAATCAGTTTCATATATAGACCAGAGCCTCTTTACTTATAATCAGAGGGAATGAAGACTCAATAAATCCGGTGTAAGAAAGCTCAGATTTCTGAAACGTATTCCAGACTGCCAGAAACATTCCGAGACGTTCAAACCCCACCGCAATCGCAACACAGAGGACACCAGAAACGTCGGCAAAGCCAATTGTTAATTGGACGCTGGAGCTATCAATCAACCTAGCACCTAAGATCTTATGATGTTGAGCAGCGGGTTTAATCACCTACCGTCGATATCGCACCTGTTTCGCACAGAAGGATTACCTCGCAGACACTTAGACATATATACATTCAGGTAGATCAGGGAATCCTACTGAATTTGTAATGTGGTGATCGACTTATCTTTCTACTATAACTCGTATTAGACCGATACATGTCAAAATGCCCGAGGTCAACTCGCTGTTGGAATCCGGAAGATGGGAACTCCGAGACCCAGTTCATACTCGACGGTATGGAGTGTTGAATCGGGGGATGTTATACATGCCAAAACTTCTGATGTGCTGAAGCTTTCAAATGAAAATATTTATTTCCACCTTCCTAGTACGGATGCGAATAATTCAAAAGCTGTCTTTTTTAAATAAGCTGTTGCATTTTATTAGAGAAATTCCCCACACTAATCTGCATGTCGCTCCTTAATTTGCCCACTAAACAACCAGGTAAAAGTTGGACCAAAAAGTGGTTATCAGCAGTGCGATTTGCACACAGTCACACTTGATATAGTGATATTCTATCCTACTATCATGGAAAGAAAATTGCGTAATCACGTGTTGACATGCACCCCCAGTGACAGTAAAAAGCTATTCAATAAATGCAAGATAGTTTAGCGGTATTTGCCGCAAGTTGGAACTACAGTTTTAGGCACAGCAACGACTGTGATGCCCTGGCTGATTACCCGGCCTACCCTAGTGTACCCCAGTTCTGCAAATGAACAAATATCCGATCGTCTACGACCTCTTTGCAGGGACCGTATTCAATATAACCTGCTCAGAAACTCATAGCTTGTGAGTTATCCACTAGGAACACGCAGAACTAAGTCCCTGAGAAATAAGGAACGTAGAGAATGCAACCGTTATGGGCCGTCTATCAAGTGTCTGCTTGATGAACACGATTGTTTTAATATTCCATATGCTGTACATATACGCTACATCCGCTACTTGTTACGCTGGA